TCATAAACTGACACATATCAGCTTCCACAAGAATCCAGTCGCACCACACATCCTAGGTTATCTTAAACTTTGACTGAAGACTTTTAAGGCCATTGGGAGCATCGGATTTATCGCAGCATAGCCCCCTGTTGTGAATGGAGTGCAATTTAATATCTGGTCCAGGTGCACACGATGGTGGGACTACCTGTACTGCCATTGATGTGCATCTGGAAGGAGCAAAGGACCCGCCAGTGCTCTTAACACTTCTTTTAAAAGTGATTTATTCTAAGTACAGTTCATCTTATATTACATTCTCTTGAATTTTGGTGCTTTGTGTTGAATTTTCCTCCTACTTTACTACTATTTAAGGCATTTCCTAGTTTTAGTGTCAGCTTGCACTTAATATTGAATATTTGAGATTCCTTAACATTCAATGATCAAAAAACTGCTAACTACTATCATTATTTCATCACCTCTTCGTGATGCTTTTTACTATATCTTTGATTTTACAATGATACAGTTTTACATGACACCAAGAAACTGATCTAAAATATATTCTGCAGTATAAAAATTAGATATTTGGTTGCAAATTTATGGATTTAACAGCTTCTTTGTTAACATAGTTTTACAAACTTGTGTTTGAAATAATTTTGAATTTACAAAAAAGCTGCAGAAATAGCACCCAGAGGTCCAGGGACCTTGTAACCCAATACCCCAATCATTAACGTTCCTGAGAAGCCACAGACATGGTGCTCTCCTGCCGCCTGATCCTTTCGGGTGTGTTTTCTGAGAATAGGGACTCTGTCCCACATGACCACAGAACAGGAATCAAAATCAGGAAACTGATCCGCTGCTACCATCTAAACCATAGGATCCATTCAAATTTGGCTAATTATCCTGTTAATGCCCTTTATGGTCCAAGACGCAATCCAGGATCACATGTATTTAGTTGTGTCTTTTAGACTCCTTCGATCTGGATCAATTCTTCATCTTTCTTTGTCTTTTATGACCTTGATCTTTTTAAAAAGTATAAGCCATTAACTTCATAGAATGTCCCACAATTTGGGTTTGATGAAGTCTCCTGATTATTACCCTTTTGCAGGTATATCACCAAAATGATGCTATGCTCAGTACATGGTAACAGAGGTATACAGGATTAATTTGCCCTATTAGGTTAACTTTTATCACTTGAGTAAGGTTGTATTTGCCAAGTTTCTCCACTCTAAAGTTAGTAAGTATAATGTAATTATAAATCAATAAGTAATTTATAAGCACTTTGTGGGGAGATATTTTGAGGCTATGGAAGTACAGTCAATTCCCATTATTTGTGGCAGTTTTATTCTATAAAGTCATCAAGAACACTGGATTAACAAATACTGAAACATTGATCCTGAGAGACACAGAGCTGCTTTCTTGTCACAATGGAATTGTCAACCGATCAGTACATAACATTGTTATGTGTGTTTCTGTTTGAAGACCCTTTATTTAATATGTATCGTTGAGCCATTAACATTGCACTCTCCGTGGTGGGCACTGTGACTCATGTCTGAAGGAAGCTTCTCTAATGCACGTGGTTTCTCTGTAAGGCACATCACAGCCTCTCACCCTTAGGAACACCAGACAGCACTGCAGCACTATGCTCAGGATCATCTTAAACAGCAAAGTCATCCACAAAAAGCACAACAGTGAGAAAAATACGACAACGTATTGTGAAAAGGACCCTTGTTTATTTTGTGAGACCTGAAACAAGAAGGCGGAGTCACCTCGTTCTACCTCAGCTGGGAATGAATGAGTTGACAGATCAATTTTTTTGCTGTTTGCATGACTGTGAAAGTGCTGCGAGTATTAATTTTGGGGTCGCAAATAGCAAATCTGCAAATATGAAATCCATGACTAATGAGGACCTACTGTATCTTTTTCTGTTAGTCTTTCAGTTGCCGGTTTTAACATCCATTGAGCTCAAATTGTCCCAGATTGGCCACTGGGAATCCTTCAGGCTGTCTTCTGTATCCTTCTGACATGTCCTTATTCTATGAGCACTTCTTTACATTCTTGTTTAACAAGATTCTCCAGGCTTCTCTTGCATTTTCTCTGCCCCATCTCTGAAGTTAGACATTTTTCCAAGGAGCTCTTTTTTTGAAAAAATTATGTATAAAATAGCTTTTAGAAACCAAGAACTGAGTGCTAGGTGGGCTCATTCCTACCAGGGCATCATTACTTCTAAGTCCTGTTAGCAGACAGTTAGGAAATATATATATGTGTGTACACACACCCACCCACACACACACACACACACACTATCATCTATGTATTCATATCTATCTATGTATCTATCTCATCTAATCTACTTATCTATCTCTACCTATCTAAACCATGAATTTATACCAATACCTCTGGTTCCAATCTGATATTAATCTAGATAGATTAATCTAATCATGGTAAGTAGACTAGATGAGATAAATAGATACATGATAGATGTGTATACATAGATGATAGTGCATGTGTGTATGTGTGTGTGTGTACACGTGTACATATTTCCTAACTTATATTTCCCCCTTTCCATATTCTAACTCCCTTCTCTGACAGTTAGAAAAGCGACTCCCATTATTCTCAATGTGTTTATTTATTTGCTCAGTCCCACTGTATGTAACAAACACCCAGCCCCAGCTCTGGATACTTTGCTGTCCACTCCTGCAGGGTGTGTAGGCTCAAAGTGCCAGAAAAGGGAAGGAGGAAGGTGGAAGAAAGAAGGAAGCTAACTTAAAGCTGTTGAAAGTCTGAACTTATGTTAAATTCTTCTTAAATAAAAGCAGACTTTTTTTTAATGAAAGAGAGAAAGCCATCATGCATATTTTTAGTTACCCTTGGAAGTAGAAGGCTATTTTATCATACCAAATGTGTGTAAAAGAAAAAAATAAAAACTCTTAAAATATTAATGTGATGTATATGTTGTCTTCTGGTTTAAAAAAAACCTTATTTTATATTTTTCCCAGATATTTTAGATTCAACACATTAGCTTTTAATATACTGCTAAACTTAAGTTAAATCTTTAAAATGTTGATGGGTAATCTTAACTTCCTAATTTTTAAATTTTGGATATGACATTTTAATTTACAATGTTTACAAGAGAATATAGGATAATTTTATGAAGTACTTTCCTTACGTTTTACTCTGGCATGTTTATCCATGTTAAAAAATAAAGTATGCATCTTAATTTTTCTTTTAAAATGTTCGTTGAAATTTTAAAAAATTAAATTAAAATTAAGGTAGAGAACATTAAATTTAATTTAAATTTTAAACTGATGATAGTGAATCATCACGACTTTCTAAGTTTTAAATTCTGGTGAATAGGAAGCTATGAATTATAGCCTTAATAAAAATTGTTGGTTAATTTAATGAAATGACTATTATGTTGGAGTATAAGGAGCTAACTGTTCTCTGAGGTAACCATATTGTCAAAAATAATGCAGCCTACATTTTCCATAAAGATATGTAAAGATTACATAAATGTGTGTTAATTCACATTATAAACATACAAGAGGTACAAAAGTATATACACAGGAATCTTTTTTTATTTCTCTCTTTCCCAATCTTCGTCCCATTCACAGAACTTAAACCCTTTATGGTTTGGTGTTATATATATTGAGAAATATACATTTGGCCATTTATTAATATGGCCAAATTTGGTTTGTTCGATTTTTACTTACACACATATGTATGTATATTTGTGGAGCTTGCTTTATGCATTTATAAGAATATTTCTTGGACTTCTTTTATGTCAGTACACACAGCTCTGTTTCATTTTTAACTACTGCATAGTATTCCATCACATAGCTGTGACGTTATTTATTTAAACATTTCCCATTGATGAATATTTAGGCTTTTTCCGCAAATTTTTGTTTATAAAGAATGCTGCAATGAAAACACTTGCACGTATATCCTGAAGCATATATGAGGGAACTCCAGAAAGTTTGTGGAAAGATTCATATTACCTTTTAATTCTATTTCTCCATGAACTTTTTGAAATACCCCCGTATATGGCAGGTTCTGTGAAATACATGCCTAGACTCAAGGATGAGACTTTTCTTTCTTCTTTGAGGGGCTACCCTGCAGGAGCTCAGCCCCCATCTCTGAGCTCCTCTTCACTTTGGGAGATCGTGGTTCTTTGTTCCCCAATCCGAAGTACCTGGGAGTGTCTGAATTGATGGGCCTCATCACTTTTAGCTTTTTTTTTTTTCCTTTTTGTCTTTTTTCGTGTCCGGCAACGGATCGCAACCCTCAGTGTCGCGCCCGTACCGGACCAGGACCGGCAACGGGATTGCAACCCTCGGTGCTGAACCCGCACGTCGCTCAGCCAGTGAGCGGGAACTGGTCTGTATGTGGGATCCGAACCCTCGGAGGGAGCACCACCGCGCTCCCAAGCGGCACACTGTAGCAGTGCGCCACCGGGCCGGCCCCACTTTTAGCTTTTTAAGCTGTGATTATTTCCCATTTCATAATGAGGCTGGAAGATCAGGTGTCCAACATCACGTACCTGCTTCTCTGCTGTGGGCATCTGCAATGCGGGGACAGGGACATGCCAACTCGAAGTACATCTCAGGGGACTGTAGTTGGGTGAAGTGGAAACTGTAATTTAGGACTGCAGTGGAGACACTTTACATATTCAGTAGACTTTGGTTCTTATTGTTTTAATCAATGAAAAAATGCAACTAATTTAAGTTTTTGACATAGAAGTCATTGGTTGGGTACTGCTTGTAAGGATATTTGTGTATGGGTATGTTTTTAGATACTTTATTTAATTTCCTTATCCGGATTGAAAATTAAAAACAAAACAAAAGAAAACAAAATCTATTTAATAGAGGGGATTGTTCCTAATTGTCATCAGATCTTTCTATTTTTATTTTCTTGTGGCAAATATTGCTGAATGGCTATTTCCAGTTCATTTCAAAAACAATTCAGTTTTATTTTGTTTCCCATCCATTGTTTATAACATTCATTTGTCATTTTTGTCATTTTTGTAGACCTACCAAGAGCAGCTGTCAGGATCTTAAGCAACATGACATTCCTTTTTGTGAGTTTGTCATACACAGCTGAGAGTGCCATTGTAACTGCTTTCATTACCTTCATTCCCAAGTTCATCGAGTCACAGTTTGGTATTCCAGCTTCCAATGCCAGCATCTATACTGGTAAGGCACTGCCATTAGGGCTACTTGAAAACATGATCATTTTGACCATGAAATGGAACGGGTGAAGAGAAAATTCAATCTAACATCAAAGTGTTACACAGGTTCATAAACAGTTACCTTTTCCCCAGATTTTAGGAGGAGGAAATCCTGGAATGTATTCTCTTTGATTCAGATTGTATTACCATATGACATATTACCAACTGTGTTTTGGAAAGGAAGAATTTTGCATATTTATGTTTTTATGATTCTCAGTTAAAAAAAATGAAACAGGCAATGACATTCAAATTTAAATCTGATTAGATCTTTTTATGGGTTGGCATGGGTCTTAAAATGTTAAGTTAAAAAAATGGATAATTTGAGACATAAATCAGTTCCATGGTATCAGGATTTTTTCATCATACATGTGAACAGATTTTAATTGAATTGTGAGGGTGATTGAAGTTAAAAAGGAACTTTATGAATTTTATTTTAGATGTTTTGTGTCTGGGAAAACTGATTTTTAGGAGAGTGTAATACATGTACATATAGTACTTAGTACTCAAATCTTTCATAGCAAATTGGATACCTAGAAATATGGGAACATTGGTTCTCAGGTATTGGGGAAATTTTGAGTGCATTATATCATGTAATATTCTAGATACTTCCTTAGTGTGTAGAAGACTGTCAAATGACTGCTTTTCTGAAGTCTCAATTTATTAATAAAGTAGATTTAAACAGTGTAGAATTATGATAAATTTTCAGATAATGTAGGCTCCCAATCCCACATTCAAACTCATTAAGCTTGAATGATCTGAAAATGAACAGGCAAAATCATTTCACTGTAGAAGGAAAAGTTGATTCTAAATATTTGGGTAATTATTTTGTTGTCTACTTCATCTTGCACATATAAAGACATCACATTGGGTTGCAGGTCCAGGATTGCAAATATTTTTATAAAGAATATACTGCTGTTTACCATTGTGATTGTGACCTAAAATATGTTTTCCTCTATCTTGGCTTCAAAAATATATGTTTTCCTAGATTAAGGTAGAATTTCCAGATTATTTTACAGTTTGGTTTTCAGAAAATCTGAACCTCCCATTTCTAGTTTAACTCTAACACTAACCCTTTCTTGGACAGGGAAACCAAGAGTTGCCTTGTAGCTAGATTCAAAGCCACATGGCTGTTAAGTGTAGAGTAGTCTCAAACATTTCTCAAACTAAATTTCAGTATTAAAAGGTGTTACTGAAAAGAAGATTCATAATCACATAAGTTTGGGACTTGCTGAGTTAAATAAAGTTTTATATACTTCTTTATTGCAGGACTTTTCATCACCCTTACTATGCTAATATGTGTTGTGAAACTCCTAGAGGGAGATTCAGACTACATTTTGTTACAAATCTATTTGACCACGAAACCCAGTATTTTAAGAGGCATCTGTCCTTCTCATGAACAGTGTTCTTCAGCACACAAGGGGATGCCATCCTGTGTGCCCCTGTCCCAGACAGACTAGGGAACAGAGCTGGCTAGATCATCCATTTCCCTCCAGTGGTGCAGTGCTGAGCCGGGTAGGGACTGATGTGTCTTGAACGCATTTTGACCAAAGCCATCTCTAATTACTGGCAGAGGAGAGGTCAGATAGACATCTCCTTGTGGAAAAATGGAGTAAAGAGTTCAGCTGGACCTGGGCCTGGGGCGCTTGGCTGCAGAGTTCCACTGTGGCGTGGATGAGGCAGCAGTCACCCAGCGTACCCCCTCGGCAGGGGAGGGTGGGAGTGAATACGGCCATCTCACAGAGTCTGTTCATCCCGTGCTCCAACACCAGGATGGAAGAAGTAGTATCACAAAGTGCCAGTTCCATTCTGGTTTTGTCCTCAGCAGTTTTTTTTTTTTTGGCGGGGGGGGAGTCATTGCCAATTTGTACGATGTTTGATAGTCTGTGTTCTGATAAAAGGCATTTTACTCCCAGCTCACATACTTTTCCTTCCTTTACAGATAGACAACAAATAATGATAGTCAAGAGATATTCAAATTGCTTAAGAGAAGAGGGTGGTCTGTTCTATTACGTACAGTACGATTAAATGGGGATGAGAGTTCTTTTTAAAACTTTTCTAGCTTTTTCCGAATTTCTGTCAGTTGAATCCTTCTTACTATCTGAACATAGATTTTATTTTTTAAAGACTTAATTTGGTATCTTTTGTTCTCTGAATCCTTTTCTATGCATGTAGAATGAAGTGGAGAATTAAGAAATTTATCCGAAAAAGATTTTAAAATAGTTTTAATTTTTCACCTGACCAAGTTTTTGAGTTCAAACTCTCGTTTCATTTTAAAAAATTATTTGGATAAATACTTTGACTCTCATAGCAATTTGGTTGTGTTGTGTTATACGGTAGAGGTGAAGCTCCAGACATGCACCAAAAGACGGGCCTTCGATTGCTGGCTCACTTGCATTGTCATTGAATGACAGCTCTGGGCAAGGCACTATGCCTTGTGTGTGGCTGGGGAAATGTAGAGACCAGGCAGGGCCTTAAGTTGCTTACAGATCAAAGAGTAGAGAGAAAGCTCATGAAATAAGTTAGAAAAAGCTGTTTAAATAAATTAGTAGAAGATTTGGGTTGCAGCGATTATTCTGGCTGGTACAGTAGTGTGAGTTGCATTTCTTGGAGGAAATGGCTTTTAACCAGGCTCTTAAGGAAAAGTAGAAATAGCCCATTTGGAGTTTGGAGGAAAGGTGTTTATTCCTTTTGGAGAACCAGCTTGAGCAAAAGCAAAACAGCCGGGGAGGATGAGGATTGTTCTAGCAAAAGGAAAAAAAAGCATTCATCCCTAGGTCAGGCACAGAGAGTGCTGCAAGCAGTCGGGGTGGGAGGAATGCTTTCTGGCTTTGAGGCTGGGAAATCTGCTCAGGGACCTTCGGCACCACTTAGCTCATACTGTAGTGACATGGGAGACACCTGCACCCTGGTGGGAGGCAGTGGCACCCGTGTCTGATCAGGGTGTCCTCACAACACTGCAGTAGACCCCACATCATTTCTCCGTGTGTGTATCTGTGTCACAGCACACGCCTCCTGTTCATGGTCCTTCTGCTCACCCACTTGGGGTCACATTTATTGCCTGAAATTATTATGAAGTTGATATTTTGGTGAAGTCTGAAATGAATGGGAAGAGCCCTGAAGGAGGAATTAGCATGGCCTCGAATTCTGCCACTGCCGTTACTAACTGCGTGACTTTGGGCAAGTCACTTCCCTCCTTAAACTGCAGAACAACAGTAGTTTGTCTGTAAAATGAGGATAATCGCTCCTCTGTCTCTCTCTGTGTCAGCGTTGTTGCGAGGATCAAATAAGGCAGTGAATCGTGACTTGTTTTGAAGCTTATCTAACTTCAAATAAGTTCAACAATTATGCAAATGGGAAAATATAACCTAATCATATATTATAGAAACAAAATTACTATTTATTTTGATTTCATTTATTATGATTACATTTGAAGTCATGCAGCTTGAACAGGTCTGGAATAATGATGATAATAAAACAAATGCTGATTATAAATAAATAAAACATTTATTGAGTGTTTACTAGGTGCAAGGCACTAAGAATTTTTATATGGGTATCATCATTGAATTAATGCAAGTAATGCTTTTGCCATAGGTATCATTAATTATGCCCATTTTTCAGATAAGTAAACAAAGGCCGGGGAGGTTTAAGTAACTTGCTTAAGGGCAAATAGTAAGTGGTAGAGCCAGGGTGCTAGAGTCTTGTCCTCCTTGGAATATATAAATAGCAGTGTGTGATTTTTATTGAAATATTGTAATAGGCGTATGCTGTCATCATCATTTCAGTTCAGTTTTTCACTATTTCCAAAGAAACAATATTTTGATGGTTTCAAGGTTCTGCTTCCCCCCCGCCCCCGCTCTGTAGCAGTGATCCATGATCAACAACGTGTGTTTACAGAGCACTGTGGTCTTTCAGCATCATCTATGTTTGGGATCCTGCCCTTTGGTGTGTAGAATTATAAAGAGTTAGACATTAATTTGTCTTTACAAGGGAAGTAGCCTTGGAAAATTCTGTTTTGTTTTTCACTGTAGAATAATCAAGATACTTATTTCTGTGGAAAGGGGACTAGGTCAGGGTGTGATTTTTAAAAAAAATACTGTAATTTTTATTGTTGTTTAAGTAACCAAATATTTGCCACCTGTCATCAGCCACTGATTTGGAGTTTTGTGGATGAGGTTCAAGGCAGTGCCATTGAACTCAGGTTGCAGCATTGGAAATCACCATGTCTTCAGATGCAAGAGAGATGAACATGCTTTGATTTGTTTCATTCTTCCGAGGGCATCAACAGCTTTTCTATATTACTTCCTTTTTTTTTTTTTTGCAGTTTTATACTTTATTTGACAGTCGACAGTTAGTTCTCATGTTCTCATCCACATTGACTGTCTGCAGATTTTTGAAAGTGGTAACAGGTACGTAGGCAACCAAAGTAGAGAGCTTGTTTGGTGGACTCATCCTCATTACATTTTCTGGACAACCACATATGGATATGGTGTGGGACATTCCGTATTCCTTTGGCCCAGACAGCTTTGTTAAACCTGGTATCACTGTTCACATCTGGAGTCCCCATTTCCTTCATGGCAAATTTCTGGATCTCTTTGAGTGCCCGGGGGGCATGCTTCTTGAAACCCACTCCATGGGTACACTTGTGAATGTCGCTGGTGTATTCTCAGGTCACCACCTCTTTGATGGCAGAATGGCCCTTCTTCTCACCACCCTTCTTTGCATGAGCCATTCTGCCAGGCCCAAGTTAGAAAGGACTGTATTAGTTCTTTAATTTTGTAAGAGTACTTTTAAGAATCCATTTTTATACTAATTTGATAAGTGAATACAATGTAATCAAGAAAATGTATATTTTCTATTTAACATTGAAATCGAGCTTTTAAATACAGATAGAATACCTTAGGTATGGATGCACTTTAGCATCACTGTCCATTTCCAAGGTCAGGTGTTGACCTTTGACTCTGAGAC